TTTATTTTAAATATAAAAAATAAAAAATAAAAAATGTATTATAATTTAAATATATTTATTATTTAATAAATTCAAAATTTAATCTAATTAATTAAATTAAATTTGAATTATTAAAATTTAAAATTAATAATTTAATTTATTTAATAAAAAATAATTAATTCAATTTAAAATTAATTAATTTAAGAATTAATATTTTGAATAATTTTTAAACAATAATAAAATATTTAATATGGTATTTAAATTTTACAAATTTTTAATATAAAACTTAAATTATAAATTTATTAATTAATATAATATTTAGAAAATTATTATTTGTTATATTTCATCATTTAAAATTAATTACATTAAAAAATAAAATTTATATTAATTAATAAATTTATAATTTAAAAATCAGATTAAAAATTTTTAAAATTAAAATATTATATTAACATTTTATTATAATTTAAAAATTATTCACGAAATTAAATTTTAATTTAATAATTGAAATAATGAAATGAACATTCTGCACAGGACAGGACCCACTATCGAAATGTGGCTCCGATAAAGAGTGGCTTCCAGCGTTGATATATTTGGTTATTCATCTAGCATAAGAGAAGAAACGACATCGTCTATTAGACCTTCTAAATTTAACATTTGATTTTTTCAAAATCAGAAAACAATCCGCGATATCTCGCCAAAAGAAAGAAAAAAAAAGGAGAAGAAATTAGAGAAGATAAGATTAAGATTTAAGACCCTAACAAAACTCCAAATTCCAAAAGAAGCATCGAGATAAGATTGGAGAAACAAAAAACCAAAACTCCCAAATATCGCGATAAATGATAAAACTTCCAGATCTGCAATCTCCGTTTATCTCTCCGTCGATAAGACTAATCTCTTTCTCTCCTGTTTGTGAGCTTCTTGAATCTCTCGCTAATTTCTCATTCCTTTTTTGTTTATTTCCGACTTAGTATAATTTTCGCTTTTCTTATTACATTTTAAAATAAACAAAATACTTCATCGCTTTTTTAATATTCCAAAAAAGCTTCTAATGTTGGAGCTGGATTTTGATTTTTTAAGACAAAATGATGCTGTGTTTCGTTGCTGAGAAAATGGACGTAAACGAGAGGAGGAAATTTCGAATTTTGAAGTGTAAATTTTTCCAGCGGCGGTTTTCTCTGTTTCGGCGGAAAAAGATTTTGCGAGAAAGTTTGTTTTTGAAAATTTCACTGAAATGATTCTTCAACGAAACAAAAATGTTGAAGATTTGAGCATGGTGCTCTGAACTAAACTAAAATGTTGAAAAACATGAAAACATCAAATTTGCTTTATTTGAAAATTTGACTATCTGATGTTTGATGAGCTACTTAACGTGATTTTTCTTTTGAATTTGCTTTCTTTTTGTAGGTTGAATTGGAAAATTTAAAAGTCGTTTCCCACCATCATCAGTAAGTCCAAATTTTCTATATATATATATGTATATGTATATAATTTACATTTGCATTTGCGTTTGCTTGTTTGAATGAAATAGTCTGCTTCAATTGTCAATTATAGTTTGATTGCATAGTCATAAATGACAGAGTAAATGATGATTATGTACACTTGATTGGCAGTGGTTCGGGAAAAAGATGTGTGTTGGGAATAAGCTGAAAAATTAGATGGAAATAAAGTTAGATGCAAATTCTGCCTTAGAATTTTGAATGGTGGGAGTGGGATTAGTAGATTAAAGCATCATCTATGTCAACCCTTGTACTAAAGTTACAGATGATGTTACTGATAGGGTTAGAACTATTATATCGTACAAAGAGGAGATTAAAGAAACATCTAGTGTGAAGAAGAAGACAGCTGAAGCTAGGTCTCCTGGAAATATATATATCTACTAGTGGTAAAATTAGTACTTTAGAGGCATCGTCTCCTGTGGCAAAAGTTTTCCCTACCGTCTCACCAATTGCTCCTTCCACATTGAGCAACCAAGAAAATGTGGAGAGAAGCATTGCTCTGTTCTTTTTTGAGAATACGTTGGACTTTAGTGTGGCTTGTTCTTCGCCCTATCAAGCATTGATTGATGCAGTTGGAAAATATGGTCCTGGATTTACAGGTTCATCTGTGGAAACCTTGAAGACGATGTGGTTGGAAAGGATCATATCTGAAGTGCGTTTGCAATCAAAACATACTGAGAAAGAATGGGCTACTACTGGTTGTACCATCATTGCAGACATGGACTGACAATAAATCTAGAGCTTTAATCAACTTCTTAATTTCATTGCCCTCGAGGGCCTTTTTCCACAAGTCTGTAGATGCCTCATATTTTAAGAACACAAAGTGCCTTGCTGATTTATTTGATTCTGTTATTCAAGATTTTGGCCCGGAAACTGTTATGCAAATTATCATGGATAGTGGTTTCAACTATACTGGTATTTCAAGCCATATTTTGCAGAATTATGGAACCATTTTTGTGTCTCCTTGTGCTTCTCAATGTTTGAATCTGATCTTGGAAGAATTTTCCAAGGTAGATTGCGTGAACAGATGTATCTTACAAGCACAAACGTTATCTAAGTTTCATACAACAATGCATCAATACTTGATTTAATGAAGAAGTTCACTGGAGGACAGGAGCTCATAAGAACCGGGATAACAAAGTTTGTATCCAGCTTTCTATCATTGCAATCAATCTTGAAACAGAGATCAAGATTGAAGCATATGTTCAATAGCCCTGAAGTTTCTACTAACTCATATGCAAATAAACCACAGAGCATATCTTGCATCATCACTGTGGAGCATAATGACTTTTGGAGGGCAGTAGGAGAATGTGTGGCCATATTTGAGCCTTTTCTGAAAGTGTTGAGGGAAGTATCTGGAGGGAAACCTACTGTTGGTTCTATATATGAACTAATGACCGGAGCCAAGGAAGCAATAAGGACATGCTATATAATGGATGAAAGTAAGTGCACGACATTTTTGGACATAGTTGAGAGAAAGTGGAGGGACCAACTTCATTTACCTTTACATTCAGCTGGGGTATTTTTAAATCCGAGTATCCAATATAATCCGGAAATAAAATTTCTTGGATCTATAAAAGAAGACTTCTTCAAGGTTCTGGAGAAACCACTTCCCACACCTGAGTTACGGCGTGAGATCACCAATCAAATTTTTAGTTTTACAAGGGCAAAGGGGATGTTCGCTTGTAATCTGCCAATGGAGGCCCGGGATACAGTTTCTCTGGGTATGTATACAGTTTTCTATCAGGCAACTGCTTGCCTTTTGGGCATCTATGTGTGCATGAGCAGCCCCTTGCCTTTTGCTTTTTCTTTGCCCTTTAAATTTGCCTCCTTTCCTAGGAAATTGAGGCAGTTCACTTATTGAAATACATCATTCTATCCAATGAAATAGTAGCTGTTATTCTTCGGGGATTATTTGCATACGAGACACTTGTTTATTACTGTGTCTACATTTATCTCTTGTAGGGCTCTTGTGGGAGCAATTTGGGGACTCAGCACCTGTGTTACAACAGGTTGCTATTAGAATTCTTAGTCAAGTTTGCAGCACTTTCACTCTTGAGAGGCATTGGAGCACATTTCAACAGATTCCCTCTGAAAAGAGGAATAAGATTGACAAGGAAACATTGAATGATCTTGCGTATATTAACTACAATCTCAGGTTGGCAAGACAGATGAGAACAAGATCCATGGAAGCTGACCTCATTCAGTTTGGCGATATTGATATGACCTCAGAATGGGTAGAGGGAAGTGAAAATCCAAGCCCAACACAGTGGCTTGATTGGTTAGGTTCTGTTCTGGATGGGGGTGACTCGAACACCAGACAGTTCAATGCTGCCTTGTTTGGAAATGACCATATATTCGACTTGTGACTCGTTGTGCAACTCTCTATACTACCTTATGTTGTGTTAGAATGACTTATATCCTACATTCATAGTTAGTTCATGCTCTTCAGTTTATATTATTCAAATTTGTAGTGGCCATGTATCAATGGCTCTGCGTACATACCTGCCAATATTGTTACATGAAAAGAAGCTAAAAAACTGTCTTAATGTATGGATGAATTGTGATTCAAATGTCTCCCAATTCAGCAGGTTTTGATTGCTAAGAAGAGGCCTGCCGTATGCAGTCTCCCACCCCGTTAATAGAGCGGAGTAATATTTTATTTAGAGTAAATAACATTTACGGTCTTTATATTTTAGATCACATATAATTTTGGTTTATATATTTTCAAATATCATTTGTTGATTTTCAAACTTATAAACATATAATGTTTTGATCATTCAATTTGAACAATAATTTTGATATTAAGTGTAAGTTGATGTCAGTTGGTAAGTTCGTGTATGTCCTTCAAATTTTAAGGAGTAATGATGTTATTTAGTTTTATTTTATAAAAATGTTTTAACTTTTTATAAAACTAATACTATGACTTTAGGAAAAGAAAATGTAATCCACTTTTACAGCACACAAAATTATATTTGTGTAGATATGACAATTTAAAACATGATAATAAAATAAAAAAATGATATAAATAAAATGTATAGAGATAACATGACTTATAATTTTAAAAAAATTATAAATAAATTTAATAAAATTAAAAAATTATATTTTATATTTTTTTATCAATACAAATTATAACACGTAAATTTTATATAAAATATAATATAAATATAATATTTTATATAATATGATCAGTATGTCCATATTTGTTTAATACTTTTCACACACAAATATTGTCGGTAGTACAATTTTTGTTTTTAATAGGTTAATACAATGAATAATTTTTAAATTATTAATAAAGTATTTAATATAATATTTAAATTTTAAATAATTTTAATGTGATATTTAAATTATGAATATATTAATTAATATAATATTTATTTTTAATATAATTAATTTTAAATAATATGTGATGAATAAATAATTTTTAAAATATTATATTAATTAATAAATTTATAATTCAAATATTTTATTAAAAATTTTTAAATTAAAATAAGATATAATCCTTTTTTATAATTTTTTCCCACGACCGCGTGTACCCAATAGTCAGATCTTCCGAGCAAACGTGAAAACTCCGAAAAGAAGACTTTGATTTTTTCTAATTCCATCTCAGGACTGCTTTTCCTTCCCTCCCGATATTCCCCTCCCTTGCGACTTACCTCAACCTCTAACCAACTTCGCAAATGGATTACGATTTCAGGAGCAGAACAGGTCCACCATACAACGCCCAAATCCCGACGTACCGGCAACAACCCATTTCATCATCATCATCATCCATGCCATCTAGCCATCCGATGTACGGACCTTCATTGTACCCAAAGATCGGTCAACCCGCTCACACCGTAGTCCCTCCCGCACCGCACACCTCCGTTTTCCGCCAGACCTCTTCTCCTTCCTCCTCCTGTAAACTCTCTCCCCTAAGAAAAATCGTTTCTATACTATTATTGATTTTTAAATTTGATAAATTCGAATTTATTTATTTTCATTTTATTTATGGCAGCTGGCTTGGGAATTAGGGTTGCTTTGAAACCTGAATATCGGATTACTCCTCCGGTAAGCGATCTCAGTCGCTTCTTTTTGGGTTTTAACATAGAAATAGGTTACGCTGTTAGAGCTATCCTATACATTGATCTCTTGTTTTTGCAGCCTATGTTGTCGCCGCAAGTTGGGGATATTCCTCGAAGCAATTTCCAGTTTGATTTCGAGTTTGAGAGGAAAATCTTGGCTGAAGCAGACAAGGAAAGCATGAATTGGAGCAGGCTTGGCTTGGAAAACCTTCCTTCGAAACCTATCGAATCAACTTCTTCATCGGTACGTTTATTCTTAATTCGGATAGAGATTTAGACTTACTTTTAAATCTTTCATTAACCTTGTAACTTGTCTGTACGATGGTTTATCTGTGATGACTTGGAGTATGATTTTGTTTTAACGAAATTAGTCCATATTTTGTTGGGCTTTTAAAGGTTTGTCGTTAAAAGAAAAAAATATATATTTAAATGTTTAGGGTTCAAATTCCGATCCTGTGGTGAGCAAATACATTGCTTCTGGGCTCAGCCGAGACGCTGTTACGGTTGCAGTTGCAAATTATGGAGACAATCCGACCAAGGTATGTTAATTGTTGTGTAATAACTTTTGTTACTGCACCCATGTAGTTGGAACACCTGATGATTTTACTTGAAAACCTTTTGCATGGATTAATTGTAGTCCTAACATAGAACTTGGTTGGATATACTTTGAAGCATTCCTTGTGATGTAATCATTTGTAATTGTAGGTTGGATTTGATTGCCCACCACCCCCGCAATGTCTTCTAGTACATATGTTTTATGCTTAAGATTGAGGCTCCTGTCTACCTGCATTTCTTTGATTAACAGAGACTAGAAAGTAATTTTGGTTTAGTTGCATGCTAGAATTCCTTCCAGTTATTTAGTTACTCTTTTTGGGCTCAGTAATGTAATGTTCTAGGAAAGTGACTGGTTTTGATGAGAGGAGTTAGTTTCCTGAATTTTGTGTCATTGATGCACAGAAACAAGCAAGACTTGTTATGAGGGAAAATTGTCCCAGTGCTTGACGTTTAGCTTGAGTAGTTTCATTAAGTTTCATCAATTCTCCAAGATCTGCAGTTGGCATTTGGTCTTTGATTTTCAAAAAGCTAATTAAAGAATGTCTTTTGCTATTTATTTATTTTGTTTCTTTCCATCCTTAGGTTCGGGAATTTGTCAATGGTTTCAACCTACTGCGAGAAATGGGATTCTCATCAAACAATGTTGCTGAAGCCTTAATCATGTATGACAATGATACAGACAAGGCATTGGCACATTTCCTTAACAGCTCATCATGAGGATTATACAAACTTAAATAGTTTTTATGTGAGTGAAAACTGGAGTGATTATGTGATACCATTATTTTTTGTGTGTTTTTCTCTGCTTTGAAACAGATTGTACAAATATTCATTCTATGATATTTTGTCCCCTCTAATAAAAGAAAAAATTATTATTATCACTGTTTCCTCTTTGGTGTTAATCTTATGCATGGATGTGCTGTTACTCCATATCATTGTTCTGGAGAATCAGATACTTTTATAAGTTACTGTCTATTGGCCCGTCTCCAAATATAATTTTGGATGGTTAAATTTCAAGCTCAGGACATGTGAAAGAAAGATGTGAGAATTTGGTTAATCCAAATGATATCAACTTAAGAATAAATCACACGTCTTCTCTTAATAAATGAATTAACTTACACATTTTAGAAGTCTACAGAAGAAATAAATGGAAGAAGGAATCATTTAACCCTCTTAAACTACTATTATTAACTCTATGAGCCTTTCACTGTGTCATTTTCAAACTCTGCTCTAAAGGGTTCTCCAATGGAGGTCAAGACAACTTCTATTGTCCAAGCAAGAAGCCCTCAATCAAAATTTGAGACGCAATTCTTTCTGTATCAAATTCATATTGAGCAGACTGACTGTTCGGAAATAAAATACATCCTATCACATTGCATCAGGTTTATATTTACTTTCCAGTATCAGTAAATAAATTCAAACTCCAGAACAAATAGATCCTGAAACCACAGCCAGAGGAAACAAAAAGAAACATGTTAGTTACCCAAGAAAGAGCCAAATCAATCTATCTGGAAGAACATTCTCATTTTGGGATGTCTATACCTTAAACCGTTCACTAATAACGTATACAGGACATTATGGCTGAAATGTTAAAATATAATACTTCTTTTTTTTACTTGTTCTTTGCAGTAAAATTTGGATATTAGTATCCACATTAATACATTACATACCATCAAATGTATGATTTAAACAGTCTATTTAAGAAAGAAAGCGAGGTGCTCGGTGGGTGGGTGGGGGTGTGCGTGTGTGTGCGCGTGTGTGTGTGTGAGAGAGAGAGAGAGAGAGAGAGAGAGACAGACAGACAGACAGACAGACCTGTTGACCAAGACGAGCAGCAAAACTTCCCTTCATCTACGTGTTTGACATCAAGTCCTATAAACCAGGATCCAGCACTGACATCATCATGGGCATAGGTGCGCATAAGAGATCTGCAGTACACAAATTAGGATCAACTTCTTGATTTATAATGGCATAACTTATGAAATGGTAGCACCAAAGAGAAAAGGACTTGACCTATTTATTGAAATAAATTTAACCAAAGCTCCTGATATGACATACATTTCACCTGAAGCGTGGCGAAAGTATCTGTTGAACACCCAAAAATATTTTAAAAGTGGTCCGTACTAGGAAAACAAATATCAACATAAGTAAACAACCAGTATTAGAAACATATTCCAAGTTTTTGTGTCCATAAATAAGACAGCTGTAGATTTGAACCTCATTTCAACAAATGAAGGTTTCGGCACTCAAATTAAGAAAAGCAAACAACTAAATACTATTAAAAGATAATGGTCCATGAGATTTTATCAACCGTATATCAGTAAAAAGCATAAATTAGATTAGTCACGGATGCTTTCCTCTAATTGTCCTAGAAGATGAAATCAGTGGCAGCAAAACTTACGATTTTTTATCACCAAACTTCCACCATTCTGGTTCATACCATTTATGGTTCCTGCCAATATCCAGATTCGCAAGCATGAGAAGAACTGAAGAAATAAAGGTTATTCAAGTAAATATCAAACTCATATATCCTAAACTGTAAATCCAAAATCCAATATCTAAGCCAAACTCACAGTTCAGAAAAAACTTCGCCTGATTTCATACAGCCAATATAAACACGAGGTTTGTCTAGATGAAATGTAAGTGTAGCTCCCAAGGCATCTGGAAAACGTCAAGTTCATATGCTGTGAAGGCATGGCAAGATTAGGATACCACAATAATGAAACAAATCTTGTAACCGAAACCTTGTTCACCTTTGAAGATGATAGCAGAACATTAGAATAACACAAAGAGTGCACCTAATAAATTGACAGATATTCATACAGTGAGCCCATAGTTACACTGTTCAACAGCTTTCTCACTTTTTACTAACATCTGCAATCAATATATTTAAAAGCAAAATCTCTAGTATGTTGATTTTGTGGTATTTGCCACTTAGAACAGCTTATGATCTTAGAAAATGGTTTTCATCTACTGTATAGGGTCATCTCAGAGAATCATCATTGTGAATTTGACCTCACAAAGATTTAGCTAAGTTGTTTTCTAAATCAAGTAACCAAGTGAAACAATTTGATAACATAAACGAAGTGCTATAACTTTGACAACTCTGTATAGGATTCTTTCAACTTCATATTGATGCACATAGTTGATGGAGGGGGTCAAGAAAAATCTTAGGTTATCCATCTATTGTGATACTAACCGATAGTTATATAAACATCATCATTGACTTTTGCATAAAACTCAGCATCCCATCTGTCTGCAGCAAGAGCAAAAAACATTTTGGTCTTCTTTGGAAGCTCCCCAGGTGCCTCCACTTGGTCCTGTTAATGAAATTATAGAAATGATCATATAGTTGAATTCATAACCAACATTTTGAAACAAGATGTCATTTGTTTTCAACTGACTTCTCAAATCAATAGTCGGATAAGGAGTGTTCCATTAACTTACAAGAATGATGAAGTCATTTGTTTGCCTATTTTCATCATCAATACTCCTGTCCAAACTGTCCCCATGGTTTGCACTGCAAAAATATGCAACTTAAGAATGAGTTCTAGCTTACCATCTTGATAATTTTGCAAGGATCCCTAGAAAAAGAAGATAAAAAAATTGAAAGAGGAATTTATACCTTCTTCCAACGACAAATCTTGAAACTATGCCTTTTTCATTCTCCATTTTCTTCAAAGTTGCACCTGTAAAATAAACATTCAGGTTTTCATCCCCCAACAAAAAAATATCAAGTCATTCTCACATCAATCTCACTGTCTCTCAGTATAAATGCAAGATTAATTAGACAGCGTACATGTTTCATTTTTTTTTTTATTAATTAGACAACATACATGTTTCACTCTTTTTTGGTACAAAAAAGTTTAGGGGGAGGGGTGGCTTCCTTATTCTAGGGCCAAGCAGATCAGGTCTCAAAGTGGTTTTATAGATCGCCCACCAAGGGGGACTGCTGGCAGTAGGACTTGAACTTAAGCTTTATAGCAAAGAATTCAAACCTTGCCAACTCAACCAACCCCGTTGGCATATATATTTTCAAAAGAATATGCATATGTCTAATTTGTGCCCTTATACGGTTATACTTAAGACATTAGCTACACGTGGGACTGATTACAGAAACAAGCATTCAAGCAGAAAACACAATGATCTCCATTTCTCCCCTTTCCTTTTAAAACTGAAAGAGATTGATTCTTCTATATGCCAACCTTTTTGTCCTTCCAACAAGAATTAAATGCCTTACACACCAATCCACTCAAGGAAATAAAATCTCACCAAATAGAGAACACATGAACGAATGAGCTGACAGAAAGTCAAAAAGTTCATACCACTTCCCATCCATGCCTTCCGTATTGCATCTCTGTTCTTCCTACGTCCAAATCTTGTTAGAACTCCTATTACTATAAGTGGCCTTCTCTTTGATACAGCTCCATCAGTATCTGATGAACGCTTTGAAGTAAACCCTCTAGTCTAGCTGCAGCAAGGTCCATCTCAAGGCAGATAATTTCTTCTGTTGTTCCCTAATAAGAAAAATGATATTCTATAGTATATCAATATTGCAATACAGATTCTCATTGTAACAGATAAAAGTTAATACTCATAACAAACAAAAACCAATAGTTTCCTTTGTTACCTGCAGGCTATGATTTTCAAAGTATCATCCACTGATATAGCGGATTGTCCCTGAAATGAAATGGTCACTCATTAACTAAATTCCCTTTTTCAACAATTATAAAATTAAAGACTAAGTGACAAAGCCAATATGATAAATGATAGCCACAAAAAACAGCTAAATTCCAAAGTCAAAAAGTAAAATCTAAATACCAGGCTAAATGTCTAAAAATTCTCACCAGATCACTTATCCTATCAAGGTCCTTTATCAAATAAACCCTGTTTTCTGCATCCTGCCATAATCTAAATTCCACAGAAAAAACCATAAAATAAAAATTTCATATCAATAAATGAAAAAGGAAGGATCTCTAATCAGTATATATAAAATGAATTTACATTACAATTAAAAAGATGGGTCTGATAATAAATAGAGAAGTAACCTGCCAGCCACATAAAAAGAAGCAATAGTGGCGAACATGGAGATCAACAATGAAGAGATTCGTGTTCGAAATACCATGTTTGAAACCATACTATTGGATACCTTACAGTGCATTTTTCTTCTTTTCAGACAAAAGAAACAAAAAAGAACTCAGAATTCTTTAAGGTAAACTCAGAATCAATGATTTAAATGAGGGGGTAGATCCAAGTCTAACTATCGGTTTTCAGAGATGATCTGACCTGAGTTTCGTACTATGTTCCAGGAATTGGCCAAGAGTTGACCTGTCAGTGTCCAAAATAATTCTCTGGGGTTCTCGGTCATTTCTTGTCTTTTAGCTTTGGGTTTCAGTGCAATGTCCCCCCCAGCAAAGCACCCAAACTTACAGGTTTTTACCGTTTCTAAATACTCACAAAATCAGGATTTCATTTTTTTCCTTTTCAAGCCTTTAATCGTTTTGTTTTCACTTTGTTTTGCGTACGATGAAATTAGAATTGGATAATATGGGAACCCCATGTATCGTCTATATGGAAATGTAAAATATTGTCGGATTCTCTCACATAGATAGAAAGGCAGAGTGGGTGTTGTGTCCAACTTGTCTGTCATTGCCTGCCGCCTCAGCATGGGTGACATTACCAAATTTCTACCAACTTGTAATTCTTAGTTTTTTTTTTTTTTTTTTTTTTGGAAAATTATCCTTTTCAGATTTATTTATAAGCTAACTGTAAGATTTTATAATATTAAAGAATTTCTTGTACATGTAAAAAATCAATAATTCAAAATTTTTTTTTACTTCTGTATAAAAAGCTCATTTTGGATTTGAGTTACAGTGATAATCTCTTTCAATTTGAACCCATTTCGTTCACGTGGCTGATGGGACAGTCAGTCCTGGCTAATGGGGTAGTTGAACACAATACTCCAATGTATTATGTTCAAATTTGGGCTCTAATGAGCCCACCTGAGTCTTGACTCCTGACCTTTAGCCTATGGCTCTGGAAGCCAAGGTAATACCGATAAATAAAAGAATGGATCAAATTAATGGTTGCCAATTGCCTAGTTCAATCCAACATATTTTATTGGATCTTGATCATCGGCCATAGTTCATGCACGTGAGCATGGGATATATAATTCATCTTCAACAAGGAGGCAAATATTAATATTGTCAGATTGAAATGTTACTGATCATTTTTATTATCTGTGAACAAATCATGGACATTTTGGGACAAAAATTTTCCATCTTCTCAAATTTACATATTAAATGCCAAGAACTACCAGATAGAATCAAATTCAAACTACTTTCTCATTAGTGATTTTTGTTGTTGTCTTGTTGAAGTGGTTGGTTAGTGTATCTAGGTGTGTGTTCGAGCCTCGGTTCTTTTCACTCTCTGTCATTTCTATTTTCTTTTTCCAACTTTCCATTTGGCCAACCTTCTATTATTTTGCCCCACGCACAAGCTACCACTAAAGGGTATTATTATACCATCTGCATCCACCGACTGACAAAAGTGTTAAGAGTCAAGCACATTCTTTTTTACCAGTGGCAACCGCCCACCTATTCTTTTAATGCGGTGAGTCTATTCTCTTTCTGTTTGTTGTCATTTATGTGGCCTGCAATTGAGTCCAGTCATTCTATTATTGCTTTGGAGTTTTCCTTGTCATTGTGTTGTGTCATGTCTTACTCACAACAATCTCAAAAGAAAATAATGTGAATGACATTTCCAGGCTATCACTATTCGTGCACTTCCGAATGATAATTGTTACCAAGAGCTAGGCAAATAATATCCCATGAGGAATTTTCTGGCTTGAAGGGACATTTTTTCTTGTGTTGAGATTTACAGGTGAGTGTGATATCTCATACTTTTTAAAAGTAGGATATAGAGTGGTGTGTATATATATATATATATACACTTATATACGGAGGATACGAAAATCCATCAGTTTAAGTTTTGGATTGAAATAATGTCTCAACATGTATGCATGAGTTATTTTGATTTGATGTGTTCTCAGAGACTCAAAATTTTTCTTATCTCTCCCACATCCTGCTTGCTGTGGGGACCTATGCTTAATCTGTTAAGCAATAAGCACTTGGTATAGCACCTTTCTAAGTGTCTGTTCACTTTTTTTGTTTGCTTGGTTTGTTGTTCCTCATATAAGAGGACGGCCCGTAATACAAGCCAGAGGGGGCCAAAATTTTAAACCCTCATAATATATATTAAATTCACCCTTTAAACCAAACATTCTATTATTTATTTTTATTTAGCCTTTAACTTATTTTTATGCATTGTAATTAAAAAATAATTAAAATCTTATTATTATACCAATTAATCATTATTTACTAATTAAATCTTTAAAAATTAATAAATTTGTTATAGGAATTAAATCACAATCATATCAATTTAATAAAATTCAAATTAATTTTTAGCTGCTTCGTAAGACCTTTTTTTTTTTTGTTGAAATGTTAGCTTCTTCGTAAAGATTTTAAATTTATAATTAAGTATCAAATATATTTTTCTTTTCTTTTTAATCAACTACAACTTCTCTTCGTATAATCTTCATTTTTAATTTTACTTTTAATCTTTTTTTCCAGTTAACATACAGTTTTTTCAATACAAAAATTAGATTAAAATCACTTTATAAAATTTTAAAAAACATCATAACTTCTAATTTCAAAGTTTTAACTTTATTCCTTTAATGGTATATTTTATTTTTACTTATTTTGAAAAAATATATATTTAAAAAAATCGTTCATAATTTTAAGTAAAATTATTTTTTTGATATATTATGTTTCTTTGAACATTTGTTTATAAATTAATAAAATTTATAATTTTGTAAGATATTTTAGTACATTATATATATTTATATTAATAATATAATAAAATAAATTAATAAAAAATTAAATTTTAATATAATATTAATTAAATCTCTCAAAACTAATTACCATTGCTTTCAAGCACTTCATTTCATGGCACGAGCCAGTCAGGAAGCAATCAGCAACAAACCCAATGTCCTTCATTATTTAGTTGAAGTTGAAACATAAGTAATTGATTCAATTGGTTAAAGTTTATTTTTTAAAAATAAATTTTGAGTTTGAATTTTATTGATAATTATTTATTAGGGTCATCTAAAATATATGATTTATAATCATTTGTTTTAAATTATCAGATATAATACATTTTATCTTAACTTAAAAAAATTGAATAATCTACCAATCTCCAAATTTTTTCTTATAAAAAAGTAAAACTTTATGCTGTACCATTGCACATCATGCCTCCGACTGATGAACTGCAGAATATATCGTTACATCAACACATCAACAGCTGGAAACTTATTTGAAAAAAGAAATCAGAAAGGGCTTTGAATGTGTAATATCATTTCTCCAAGGATTTTTCTATTCTTAGTTTTTTCTTTCGTTTGTTCTTTGCCGGTTCCAATCTTTAGTTTTCTTCAATTATTCAGTATTACGTTATGACAGAAATATATTACCGTAAGCCAAACTTAATTCTTTGAAATATGGTTAAGTGTTATGAAGAATTTATAACTAAAACTATATATGGTCTGGCTTAAACCAGAATAAGAAGCACAAGAAAAGCAAAATAATAATGACTAATGAGCCTGACCCATCACCCATTGGATTAGATCACACCGCAACCTCAACTGATCCTGAAAGAGTTTTTATTATTATAAAAAATATATATTTTTATGCATGCATGCCAGAGTATTATTATAAATTTGTTGAGACAGGCAGGACGTGAGGTTTATGATAATAGTAGTAATTATAATAATTTAACGAAGCTAATGATGTGTGTTAATATGAAATAGAGAAAGTGCCAGTGATGATGGCATGACCATGCCATGCTTAGTGGATGGCATACTCGAGTAAAAGTAATTGGAGTTTGCTTCTTCGATCTAGTGGGGTAGTTTAGTTACATAAAATTTAATCACTTTATAAAATAATAGGATCCTCCTACTTTTTAATTTTCCATTTTTAAAGTTTTCGAGGGTCGAGTCTGAGGAGGCTAGGGACTACTGGCTAGGCTTTGACTTCATGCTGTTTTTGGATGGATGGTGGGAATGCTCCTGCCAGATAAAATATTCAAATAAAACATCAATCATTTTAAACCACATCTCTAATTAATCTCACTCTAAATTATTAATTAATAAAATAAAATTTCACAGACCTGAAAACGATAGAGCATGTATCAACCCCTCCTTTTTTTTATGGTAATTTGAAAATTTAAATTCGCATTTAAAATTGTATTATTGATTAATGCTATGTTACGTGTATGGTAAAAAAGCTAGTATTTGCATTTTTATTGTTCTAATTATAATTGATATTCATTAAAAAAAAAAGCAATAATTATGGTTCCGTGAATATTTTAGGGATTTCTCATTTTAATAAAAAGGTTAGGTTATGACATTGCGACAGGAGATTTTGGATTTATAAAACCACAGCTGGGATTGTCTGTTAACATTGGGAAATGCACTTGATACGGAGAGATGAACAAATTAAAAAATTTTGCAAATGGCGTAGGCAATGATGAAGCAGTGCAGAAACGACATCTTCATCGCATACCAAATATGATGCGATCCATAAAACTAGCACCAAATTTCCGCAGTGCCCTTCAAAATGGATCACAATCCGCAATTCCATTTGAAACATAAAACTAGCACCAAATTTCCTTTCCTATTCACAAAACAAGGGTAGATCTGTCTTTTCTATCAGCATAATTAATTAAGCAAATTCCCTTAAAAAAAATCAAAAGTATTTAGCTGATTTAGTCTTACTTAGTTGAATCTAGGTAAAATATGTCCAAGTTTTTTTTTTTTTTTTTAATTTCAATTTGATACAAAGAGGGCTAAGTTTAAAAATAAAAGAAGATATTACGAATTTTGAGATTTAAATTTTAAAATTTTAAAATATTATATCTTAAGAGTATTTATATGAATTGATTAAATTAAATATTGAATTTTACTTTTTTAATACTTTTCTGAATGCTTTTTAGGTACCAAATTAAAAAAGGTTAGCATCTCTAAACATTTTTTCGCCTTTCCCTTTGGGTAACAGAAAAATGTATATCACATGTTGCAAAAGGGAGAAATGAGTAGCAGTTTTGAATTTCAAGCTACAGTAATGGTGTGCCTGTTTTGTCTTACTCGGTCAATATCTCACTGCTATCGATTGCCTGAGGTTTTGGCCCTTTTTTTTTTTTTTTTTCTTAACAACAAAAATACTTTTTCTTAACCCTAATGAAATTTTATGCATGTGCATGGTTATAAATGCGTAAAAATCCCAGTCACTTGTTGTTCATGGGTCATGTGATTTAGTGCTAGGTTAGTGATTTTAC